ATGTTTAAAAAAAAAAAAAAGAGGATTGGGCAGCTTTCCCAACAATAGTTTGGTATTGTTGTGGCTTGGGGCTATGTAAATAAGCTGTCTGAAAACTTAACCTGGGGATTAGTCACATTGGACATCATGTTAGGTTTAATTGAGCCATTTCAAAGACAGGTATTGGGATCTTACTACCATCAAAAAAAGAAGAGCCGGGAGTAGGGGCCTTTGCCCTAGATTGTTGCATTGAAACTCTTCAATCCAGGAGACAGGGAGCTGGGACCCAAGAGAGGAAGTGATGGGGAGAAGCAGCAACAGAGACCTGGTGGCAGCAGAACCAAGAGACTGAGACGGAGCAGTGGGCTTCCCAGGCCGCAGCACAGGAGAGCTGAGTACCTTTGGGCAGGAGGTTAGTAGGTGAAGTGGTGAACATCTGAGTACTTATCTGGCAAACCAGATTTGCCAACCTACACAGAGCTGAGTGTGTTCAGTATGGGGCTAAAGGGCAGAGTGAGCATTTATCCCCAGACCTAAAAGACTTTTGTAACATTTGCCCATTCAGGACAGAAGCCAAGGGGCTCCCGGGCCTGACCTTACCTGCAGGTACGGCTATCAAGATGCTGTCCCAAAGAAGAACCATATCTTGAGTCACCTATGAGCCCAAATTGTGTTAAGGTACAAAAGTGATCCCTATGCCAAATATAATTTGAGAACATTTATTAAACTTTAAGAGACAACAAAAGACACACACACACATCATATATTTAAGGGAGGCCATTAGCATGAGGTCAAATAATAACTGAGAATTCCCTGTTGGGACCCCAGATAAACAGGGCATAGAACAAAAGGCACGTCACAGATCATGATTGGTGGCAGATCAGTACATCACAGATACAGGTGGGACTGCAGCAGCAGAAATGGGACCATGATTAAGACATGCACACTATTAGATATAAGGACTTATAAGATTGGTCCAGGGCCTTCACAAAAAGCCAGTCAAGGCCAGACTCATGACAATGGCCCCTGTTCTGTCCTCAGTAAGGTGACCTCTATCAAGGATACACCTAGGCAGGCCCGTGGAGAGGAGCACAGGCAATGTACTTTTAAGGCACTCTCCCGGAGGGGAAGATGATCCACATCCTCGGTTAATGATCAGAAAGAATTCAATGGAGGCTTAATCCAAAAAGGGGAACGCAGCAAATAGACGAGTTGTCACTGCCACCAGCAAACAAAACCTGAAACACAACTCCCTGCCATCGCGTGGATTCAGATTACAGCGACCCTTTCGATCCTAAATGGGTGGAACTGCCCCTTGTGGGTTTCCGAGACTGTAACTCTTTACAAGATTACAAACACTGTCTTTCTCCCCAGGTGTTACTTGTAATTCTGAACCGCTGACCTTGCAAAAGCAGCCCACTCTGTAACCACTAGGCCACCAGCCTTTTGCAAACTGGAGTGCTCATAACATAAGTTCTAATACAATTATAAACGGCTACTTATCCAGTGTATTCTACCATTCAGGAAGATGCTCAAAACCTCGGACACTGACCGTCGCGATAGCCCGGGTCAGACCTCAGAAAACACGGATCGCCCCTGCTTCAACACAAGCTCCTCCGCCCGACGCTGCACCCAGGCAGCCCGGGATCCTGACGCCCGCACGTCCACACGTCTCTAGTCCTGTTTCAAGGACAGAAACACACTTGTTTTCCTCGTAACTCACCGGTCATCACTTACTACCCAAAGGTTCCACAGCTCCAGCAGTGCGCAGATCCTAGTCAATCCCCTGCGCGGCAGGTGCCTGCGTCACGGGGACGTTACGCTTAAGTACGGCAGCCGCCAAAGGCCTAAATTCATGCCAGGAATTGAGACACGCATTTCCGGCCCCGCCCTTCCTAGACTCGGTGGAGGGCGCCATGTGTAAATAGATTCCGTACAATAGAAAAGTTGTGGGTACGGCGGCCGCCAAAGGCCTAAATATATGTCAGGATCTTGAAACAAGCCTTTCCAGTCCTGCCCTTAATAGACTTGTGAAAGGTGCCATGTTTAAATAAATTCGGTACAATAGGAAAAGGTGTGTGTGTGTGTGTGTGTGTGTGTGTGTGTGTGTGTGTGTGTGTGTGTGCGTCCCACTTGTTCTAGTTTCATACACCTTATTTGCGTGGCCTTCCCCATTTGGTTGGAAAGACAAAGCAGTGGACAGGAAGGCCATATAAAAGCAATCCAGCCTCCACACTGGTTCATGAGGTGATTAATTCACTTTCAAATATATATATATATATATATGTAATTTTTCTATGTGCTGGGTAATATCAAATCATGTAAACTAGTGTTCTGAAATTTCATTGTCTGGGATCAGTTAAATCTGCGGTTCTCAATTTGTGGGTCGCGACCCCTCTGGGGGTCAAACGACCCTTTCACAGGTGTCACCTGAGACCATGGGAACACACCTCTTTCCGATGGTCTCAGGAACCGAGACACCGCTCCTCTGTCTCCAGGGGGTCCGCCCACATACAAGTACCCAGTGTGAAGACTTTTACCCAGGATACACGATGCTTTAAGACAACATTTCATTTATTTGTAATTAGAAATAAATATTTCACAATATAGAATCACATATTATTTTTGTGATTAATCACTGCTTTATGTTCAATTTGTAACAATGAAATTACATCTTGCATATCAGATATTTACATTATGATTCATAACAGTAGCAGAATTACAGTTATGAAGAAGCAACGAAAATAATTTTATGGTTGGAGTCACCATAATATGAGGAACTGTATTAAAGGGTTTCAGCATTAGGAAGGTTGAGAACCACTGAGTTAAATGATCTCTCACTATACTTTCATAAATATTTTTTATACATACATATACATACACAAAGCTCTCACTATACTTTCATTTCTCATTATACAGTCATAGCAAAAACCAAAGCAAAACAGCAAGTCTTGGTGATTATCTCTGATGTTCAGTTTGGTGGGAATGGTTACACGTGTCTAGCTGTCACGTGAAATATGATTAGTATAATTTAAAAACTGGATTTTAAGTTTTGAGTTTTGTATTTAAAATAGTCACAAATTAGTACCATCAAGTTATTGCTAATTTATTTAGGAAATCTTAGAAAAATTGTTAAGGAGGTTTTAATAACTTGGGGGGAGGTAGCGAATTAGGGTGTAGCTTAATTATTTGGGTAATTCACAATGGAATAGAATCACCATCAGCATAAAGGTGATTACTATGAGGTGGAGGTCAGGTATACCACTACCATTCTCCAACTCCTTCACCATTTCTAAACCCAACAGTTCCTGGTACTTCACTCCCTGCTCAGCTGGGTTTGACAACTCCATCCACTAGCTGTACAGACTCGCACCACACTCACAGGTATATGGTTAATTGGGGGTGGAAACAGGTTACATATTGGGGTCAATATTAATTTTTATGTAGATGTAACAAGACACAAATAGGATGTAGTTGGCCAACCAGGGGGAGCTTTCTCTGCAGACAACCATTGGAACATAAATATTCCCTGATGATACAAGTCCTCATCAGCACCTTGGACAGTTCTCTGCCACTGGGGTCTCTGTTGCTAACTGGTCTAACTCCAGGTCAGTATAGCAGCTCTGTCATTCAGTCTCTCCACCATCAGCCTTTCTACTGCTATGTGACCGAGATCACAGGCAGTGGGTAGCAGATTTCTCAGCCCTTACCTGCTATTACACTGGGTAGCTCAGCTGTCAGAATTCCTGCTATCAGATTCTCTGCTACTAACTGGCCTAGACGATTCTCTAGTCAGACCTCTCCACTGTACTGCCTCTGGACTAATGACCTTTCTTGTCACCATCGGATCTGATCCTAAACAATGAAGTTGCAGAAACTTCATCATATTTGTGACCATTCTGCTTGCATGTGGCTCTGGTTTACTGTCAACCTACTTCCCAGCCAGCAAGTCGTCTGCCATCTAAGTGATCTCAACCACAACCGTCTCCCATTTGTTGTTGTTACCCGCCATAGAGTTGGTTCCGACTCATCGCGAACTATTTACAACAGAACAAAGCACGCCACGGTCCTGTGCCTTCCTTACAAGTATTCCCATGCTTAAGCCCATTGTTGCAGACACTGTCAATCCAGCTCCTTGCAGGCCTTCCTCTTTTTCGATACCCTTTCACTTCACTGCAAGATAGATCAGTTGGTCTTTGAGCAGTTCCTGATCCTTTCAGCTGTTTTCTCCAGGCCCACAATTCAAATGCTTCGGTTCTTCTTTGGTTTTCCTTATACAGTGCCCAACTTTAATGTGTACATGAGGTAATGGAAAATAATATTACCTTTGAGTCAGACATACCTGTGTCCTTAAAGTAAACTCCTTGCTTTTCAGTACTCTATAAAGGTTTGGGGCGGCAGATAGATCAAATACAATACATCATTGGCTCTCTGGACTGCTGCATCCATGAGCATTGGTTGTGGATTCAAGCAAGACAAAATTTTTGGCCACTTCAACCTTTTCTCCATTTATCATAAAATTATCTGTCGGTCCACTTGTGAGGATGGTGGACTTGTTTACATTGACTTGTAATCCATACTGAAGACTGCAATCCTTCATCTTCACAAGCAAGTGCTTAAAGTTCTCTCCACTTTCAGCAAATAAGGTTGTGTCATCTGCATGTGGCAGGATCATAAGTGTACCTCTAATCCTGATGCCAAATTCTTCTTCATATACGCCAGCTTCTCTGGTAATTTTTTCAGCATACAGATTGAACAAGTGAGGTGAGAGGATACAACCTGGCACACACCTTTCCTGATTTTAAATCATGCAGTACTCCTGTCTCCCCAACTGCTTCTTGATCAATATGCTAGTTACTCATGAGAACAATGAAGTGATCTAGAATTCCCATTCTTCTCAAGGTTATACAGTTTATTGTGATCCACACAGTCGGATAGCTTTGCATACACAGTCAATGCAACACAAAAAACATCTTTCTGGTACTTGCTTTCAGTCAGAACCATCTACCATCAGCAATGATATACCTTGTTCCACATCCTTTCTGAATCTGTCCTGAACCTATACAAGCTCTCTGTCAATGTACTGCTGCAGTCACTGTTGGATGATCTCCAGCAAATTTTACTTTTATGATATATCAGTGATATTGTTCTATAGTCTGAGCTATAGGTAACTCAGTGGTTCTTTTTCTGATGCAGACCTTAACCTGTTTGTAAAAGGAATCAGATTCCGGTGGGTTTTTTTCCAGGTATGATAACACAGCAAACTGACACATGTACTGATTTACTCAATCAATAGGAACACATGCACTACATTTGGAAAAAATTTATCTTGAAAGGCATAGCAACAACAAAAAATTACCTCTGTAAATATTATATTTTTTAAAACTGTTCTCTGTTCAGTCATGTCATGTTACTCACTGAAGGTCCCCAAAAGTTTACTCCATCCACATCATTACTGTTGCCTGCACTTTGAGAAGTTTGTACTTATTCAGTGTTATTAAACCTGAGGGGCTCATGTTCCCCTTTGTGGAATTTCCACTAAGACCTGTGCAGCATGGATGACCCTGCTGGCACTTAAAAATCTGCTTCTGGCATAAGAGCAAAATGCAAGCCATCACAGGACAGCACTGTAAGATGAATGGTGTAAGCTAGAATATAGGTTCCATAAACATAGGAAACAATGTTTGTGTACCATAATACCTTTCATATATACCTGTAAAAATGGTTTTCTCCCAAGTAGAACATTCTGCATTCTTCACATTCCCAACTTTATCTAGTATTAGTTGTCTTTCAGTAAAGAGTGATGGAATGAATACACCTGACCGCTAGCACCTGAAACTAGCAGGCCTTACCACCTCTGTGGTCTGTGGGTCTCAGTGTCTTGCTTGTATTTACATTCCTTGCATATTTCCATGGGCCTATGAAGCAGCTACCAAATCTGTGTTCATTCATTATTTTCACATCCAACCTGGTTTCTTCAGTAACTGCTTTTACTATTTGGATTGTTTACACAATTGTATTTGTCCCAAAGGGCAAGAAACATTAAGCATACTTATTTACATTCGTATAAAAGGGTTGTCACTAAAGATCTATCTTGTATCGATGCATGTTTGAAGGGGCCCATTGTAAATCAACATGACGACAAGATTCAATGTTCTGTTCTTTTATAGAGATCCACAAAGTGGATGATCACTTGCTTGAGCACTGGCAACGTGAAAGAAGCGTGGACAGAACCGAACAACGCGATAAATTTAATACATTGGAAAATATTCTTCATCAGCACAAAAATAATTTTCCTCTAAAGGAAAATTATGAGGTATTTGGCTTACATGAAAACATTGTAAAATCAGATTTCATCATGCTGGCATTAAATCAGAACAGTAACAGCAAAATACAGAAGTCAGTTGTGCTCAGTGGAGATGAGAAAACTGTTTTCAACACTGAACAAGAGCAATTTTGTACTGCAATGAAATTCCCTGAGTGTGATAAATCCAGTAACATGACATCACAATGCATTCGGCATCAGAAATCTGACAAAAGTGAGGAACCGCACCTAGGTGATAAATGTGGGAATACCTTCGTCAAGGAGTCCTTCATCGGTGATCATCAGTCCATTCATGTTCTAGATAAGACGTATGCATGCAGTCAGTGTGGGCAAGAATTCGACAGAGTATTCAAACTCACTGCACATTATCGAACAGCTCATAAAGGACAAAAACCATGTACATGCTTGGAATATGGGAAAGCTTATCACAGTAAATCATACCTCAAGGAACATCAGAAAACTC